ATGATTGTACAATTCTTCTCTATATGACTGAATGATTGAATTGTATGATATGTAAATTATGTGCCAAAAAAACTGTTGGGGGAATAAAAGAGCAAAAAACAAAGAAAAAGAAGTTATGAACCCAACCCAAGAGAGTTTATGGCAATTCTAAAGTGCTACAGAAATAAAATTGACATTTGAGGTGGCCACAGTAACCAGGACTTCAGGCTCAAAATCCCAGAGAGATTAAGAAAAGTGAGCCCATGCTTAATAGATTTCTCCTCATGTCATAAAGGAGGTCAATGCATAATTTTATTCACTAATTTACAACAGTTATTAGATGTGACTATGAAGGTGACGTTAGATTGATCAAGCGCCTAGAAACAACATATTTACGACCCTATGCTTGGAGCTGGATGTGAAAAATGAATGTGACCCCAAAGAAGCTCATTAACATATTATGGGCAGAATGTAAGTACATTTCTCTTTGTATTTCCCATCCTTTGTCAAAACAATCTATAAAGAACTCAAAAAGAAGACATATATTCATTTGTTTCAGACTTTCCCAAGTCACATATAACCCAAAAATTGCGCCATATGTCTAAAATGTACTTAAAGTCTTTACTCAGGATGCCTGTGGACTGTTTTAAAATATTTAATACAATAATGATCACAACTTTCAATTCACGAAAATAGAACTCCCATTCATCTCACTGGGAGGGGTCTGTCTAGCAACGCAGCTTCTATACAATCATGAGCTCTGAGCGAGGACAGCCAGAACCGGTTAGAGCAGAGAGAGCAGTGATCCTACTCCACTGCCCGAAGCCGTATGACTCATTTGAAACAGAAGTGGTAAGCAACATCTAAGTCAAGGATCTGAAACTATCATGAGCAGCAAAGAAAAGTCATAAAGAGGGTACTGATGAGTCATCTGACATCTGCTACTCATTCAGAAGAGATAAGCCAGTGTACAGATCACCAGGAGTAAAACAATACCGCAGAAATGCAAAATAGATTATTTTGGTAGAATGATAGAAGAAAAGATGAAATGGGTGAGAAGCTATCACAGAGACAGCCGATTGATGCAGGACTCTATTAAGCAGGCTTGTGAAACATAAAATCTACAGGAATTGACATTGTCAGGAAGCGGGAAGAGCCTATATATTTTGGCTTACCAGAGAATTGGAAGGCAAGAGACTCAACAGGTGAATACCAGTTTGCCAATTTATTTCCACTTAAGGTCTCTCTCTCTCTCTCTCCCTCCCTCTTTGATTTTTGTAATTTTTTAAAATTCTGGGTGCTGAATACATGAATTCAATAATTTCCACATACACATTGCAGCAATTACAGTCTTTGAGGGGTACAGTCCTTTCCAAATGTTCTTGCCTTGTTACCATCAACTCCCTGCACCATATGCTGCCTGCCTAATTTTTTGAGTTGCTATTGTCAACTTGATCTCGTAAATAGTTCTTAAAAGAGCACAATGGTGAAAGCACACATTTTTTATTAGTCCTTCAGGTAATATCCCTGCTTTTCAAAGCTTTAAAGAACTTTTGTGCAGCCGCTTGACCCAATGCAATGTGTCATGTGATCTCTTTGCTGTGGCTTCCATGAGCACTGATGGTGGATCCAATTTCCTTAGACTCAGACTTTGTACATTCCAAGTTCCAATTATTTTTTTTTTAACATTTTATTAGGGGCTCATGCAACTGTTATCCCAATCCATACACACATCAATTGTGTAAAGCGCATTTGTACATCGTTTCTCAAAACATTTTCTCTCCATTTAAACCCCCGACACTAGGTCCTCATTTTTCCCCTCCCTCCCCGCTCCCCCCTCCCGCATGAGCCCTTGATAGTTTATAAATGGGTATTTTGTCATATCTTGCCCCGTCCGACGTCCCCCCCTCATCCACCCCTCGGCTGTCTGTCCCCCAGGGAGCCAAGTTCCAATTATTAACAGATGCTTGCAGCTATTTATCTCATTTCTAGTTGTGCCCCATCAGCAAATGAAGGTCCCGAAGGCTTTACTCCATTCATACCATTAAGATCAAGTCAACGTTGAGAAGACACCTCTTCTTCAGTCGTACTCTGAGTGCCCTTACAGCCTGGGGGGCTCCTCTCCTGGCATTAGACCCGACAGTGTTCTGTGACTAACGGTCATGAAGTTTTCACTATCTGATAATGTTTCATTTCTATCCATAAATTTTCAGTCAGTGGAATTTAATTCCACTGAAATGAATGTTCACACCTTCTTTGTAGTCTCTTCAGAGTCTGGAAGCTCTTCGGCCACCTGTTCACGTTGGATAACCCTGCTGCTATTGGAAAAAAACAGTGACATCGCTTCCAGCATGACAGCAACATATAAGCCACCACAATATGATAAACTGACAGACCATTGTTTGGATGAGTGCTAAAGAAAAGAGAAAAGGTCAAGTAAGAAAGACCCAGCGTGTCAATACTAACTAGAATCGTCTGGGCGGCCCTTATAGAAAAGGTGAGCTTTGGCCTGACTAGAGGGCAGTCATAGAGTTAGGTAAGTAGGGATTGGAAGGAGGCTCATCACCCAATCTTCTACCAGCCCTGTAAAAGAATTTAGCCAGAGATGCCTTGGGATTCGAGCGGTGTGGCAAGTTTGCTGAACTGCCAGGGCCTTGCTTTTGGTTTACACAGTAAACTCTGTGAGTAAGGTTTTAGATATTCTGTTACTCTTTCACGACGTGCGAGACCAAGATCAGGAACAGAGAAAAAAGAAGAAACACAGCACTCGAGAATGGTGTTGGGGGTGGAGAGGAGATGATCCATTCTAATCTCAGATCAAGAAAGGTTCTATAAATCTTGTAGATAGAATAAAATAAGGTATTTCCTATTTCCTTAGTTTTCTTTCCTGTAATTAGATATTTATATAAACCTGACATTTTAAGCTCTGAATAGTCACTTAACTAACACTGAAGGTATTTTTGGCCAGCTCTTTTCCTTCATTTTATTTTTCTGTGGTATCCACAGGAGAGAAATCACAGTCGCAATTCCTGGCTCAGAGAAGAAGATAGATTTTATTGCTTTAATCCCAGCATTGAGCTAGTTTTCTTGTTTCTGTTTCTTGGAGCTATTTCTAAGAAAACTAAACTAATCAAAATACAACTAAAAATACATGTTTAATTAAAAATATTTTGTGATTGACAAGTTGAGACACTGATTATGTACCAAGGTTACCAGGATGAGGAGCATAGGTCTCTACCAGTACTGAAGCACCATCCTGAATAACCAATTGGAGATTTATGCTGCCACACGCTAAATCATAACACAGCCCTATAATCAAAAATTTGTTTTCTTCTTTTTTAGGTCTGCTCTTGGGATTATTGAAGGTACCGATACAAAAAATAAAAATCATTGGCTAGATCACAGCCGCTCCAGTTTCTCAGATATGGTGCTGCACTATATTTTGAGTATTAAGTTATGTCCATTTACTAATAGACCATCCTAATTTTAAAGATGAGAAGGTTCAGACCCATCAATTACAGGATAAGATTTTTAAAAGGTAAGAAATATTTGAAAAAGAATTAGGTATCAAAGGGTTCCTAGTGAAGATGTATATGGCTCGTTGACTACACAGGGCTGCCACTCATGAGGTCAGTCAGTGGCTTGAGCCCACCAGTCTCTCAGCCTCGAAAAGATTGAAAGTGCGAAAACCCAAAGGGCCAGTTCTCTGCACTAGAGTGTCTTTATGAACCAGAATCAATCAGACGGCAGCAGGTTGCACATTTTGATGTTGAAGGCAGTGCCCTCTAGATAGCGACTACCAGCCGGATACCGCAAAGCCGGAACACAGCCTGAGAAGGGGAGAATAACTTAGAATGACAAAAATGTCAGACTTCGTTGCAATTTTCATATATATTTTGAATATCTAAATTTTTCTGCTTCAAATTATGCAGCACACTTTCAGAACACATCTTAATATATAGAAGTGAATGGATAATTCCAAGCTTCTTTATAAGAAAAAGTACTATTTTTTAAGAGTTTCTGTACACAGGAGGAGAAATTGTGCCATCTTACAATAAGACTGGAATATTTTCATTTTAATTAAGGGGTTTGAATGCTGACAGACCCATATGGGGTTTCAGAACATTTGATTCTCTGTTTATTTTCCCAAACTCACTTCCAGTCAATTGGTTATGATTCACAGTGACCCTATAGATCAGAGTGGAACTTCTTCTATGGGTTTCTGAGGTTGTAGATCTTTACAGGAGCAGAGTCTCAGCTTTCTCTTGCAGAGCAGTTAGTGGACTCGAACAGCTGATCTGGTGGTTAGCAGTCAAACACATAACTCACTATGCCGTCAGAACTCGTTATTTATTGTATAGTAACTCTTATTTCTGGCCCCCTTTAAGATAGCAAATTGGAACTGCCTGCTATTCAGTTCCAAATAAAAGCAAAGTGATAGTTGGGACAAACTCCAAGTTCATCTAATCAGTACTGATCAAATATACCTTTGGATCAAAGCACACTATGTGAAGTATAAATTAAGCTAAAATATTTAGTACAACACAAAGTACTTTAAATAAAGCCAGCGTGCACTTCCTCTATCTCAGGCTACATTAACATATCCTGATTTTTTAATAGATAAGCAGAGTGAAGAGTAGTATATGGGATATGTTCTGAATCCCAAAACTAGAGCTGATATGTGAAAACTGGTGCCATTTTTTGAATCAGCTGGTCAAATATATCCAGAAACAAGTCTTACATTTGAGGTACTGATCTGTGTTGTGCAGTGTAACAATAACAAATTGCAAAAAAAAAACCCAAAAAAAACAAAGAGTAAAATATGTTTGTCAAAAGATAGAAATAATTCAGTCACAATGAACTTTTATTTCAATCATAAAAATGGGAGACCCTCAGCAAATGAATGTTCTTATTGATAGCTACTTTATTACCGCTATTGTCTCTCCCATAACACTGTTGAAAGCTAGCAGCATGTAGCCACTCCTCCCACTCCTATTAGTAAATCTGTGTTCTACTGAATTTTTCGATAGATGTGACAGTTATAATTTGCTTCCATATTATATCAGCATATAAACAATTAATATAATATAACTTACCATTTAAATATAAGGATTTGTTTGAAATGATCACTGTATCACATACACAGAAAAAGAAGAAGAGGCAGACTTCACCAAGTCAGCACAGAAGAACAGGAAACTGGGAACTGAGCTGCAGTCTTGCGACTGTGACTAAGGAGAAACTATAAGCAGACAGTGTAATTGTGGTCAGGGCAATTGTTGGAGATCACATCTCCGAGTGACTCATTTGAAGATCAGGCTATTTCTGCTGCTGCCTCTACAAGCAGTGAGTTCTTCCCGGATGGTGTTGGTGGGCTCATTTTACGTGAGCTGAGCTCTACTGGCATAGGAGTCTCGGCCACCAGCGTCCCCAACCTGAACGACGGCAGCAGCCTCACTACGCCTGCTTCAAGGAGCCCTGGGAGCCTAGCGACTACCACCAACTGCTCCGACGAAGAATAACACAGTTTTCTAGTCCTGGAAAGGGGTAGCGTCTCAAAAACTCACAGGGGGCCGTTCCATCTGTCCTACAATGTCACTGTAAATGCGCATCGACTTGATGGCAGTGGGCGTGTTCTTTTGTTGCTGTTGGGTAGTGTAGTTGCCAGAAAAACAAAAGGTTTCTTCAACTTTATCAGCCTTCAGAAACCCCCATACTCAAATAACACATCATCTGTAAACCACATGAAAATAATGTTCGGTGGCTTATTTATTTATTTATTTACATCAATGAGCAGGTAATTCATGCTGTCTCTTTTCTGCAATGAGCTTTCTCTTTTGCAGGAACTGTAGACCAGACCGTTTCATTGAGGAGGGGGGTGGGGGGGGGTGCATTTGGTTTACCAGGCGCCTCACAAGCTGCTCTGTGCATTTGGTTTACCAGGCGCCTCATTCCACCATGGCATTTATGCACGTTGTTTGCTGTTAGTGGATCGATCCTGCTTCCATTCCCAAATGAGGCGTTCTAGAATCTGAGGTGTCATTTTCCCAGCCTGACCCCCATGTCCCCTGCTCTGCTTTCACCCTTGGCTAATGCTTCCCCTCAACACTGACTTCAGTGTTCCGGGTCAGGAACTGAAGGAGCCCCAGCGGCCCAATAGTTACAGGGCTCAACCGCTTACCCAAAGGGGGGGAGCTGACATGTGTCAGTGATCTGTTTCCATAAAGAAACCCTGTGTGGACAGTTCTACTAAGAGCCACAGAGTCACCATAAATAGAAATCAACTCCACAGTCGGTGAGGGCTTTTTGTTTTTTGCATTTAGGCCAAGAGAAGAATGCAGAGTCTTCTGCTCCTGTATATCTTCAAAAAAAGGTAAGACTGAAGCAAAAAGCAAAAACCATTGTTTGAACCCAGTGCTGGGACTTCCCCTTTTGTGTAAGCTGAGTCACATTTTTCCTGTTGTCGATGTGAAGCCTGTCGGTTGACAGGATAGGGCTATCTGGCGATGTATAAGCCAGGCAGACAAGTTTCCTTGCATTTGTTTGCCTTACCTTGGACACGTACCAATTAGAAGCTGTCCACTGGCCAAAGGCGATAAGAGATGGTTTACTAAGGCTCAGATACTAGATTGAATAAACTAATTTCTGACCTTTTTTTTCCTGTTAAAAATGTCATCCAGGGTTTCTGCCTTATGCAATCTTACTGATTTTGACAGAGATCTTTTTGGATGTACATGGGCATTTTATTCTTCATATCTGCTCAGTTGACACATGCTTTAAAACCACAGATATCTTTGATTGGTTGGCACATTGTGAAAACAGGAAGTGAAAGGATGGCATCAACTGTGAAAGAACCAGAGCCAGTGAAACCTTCTGAGTAAGTGCCAAGGTGGGACTGCTGCTGAGGGAAGCACACAAGCAAAAGGAAGCGACAGTACCTATATGATTCCAACAGGAAGAATGGGCATCCAGCAGGTTCTAACTGTCTCCTTTTCTGGGCCTCATACGCATATGAATAGGGTTTGGGGTATTTTTTAAAAAAATCATAATCCACGATATTGTTGCTTGGTTTGATAAACGCATTAAATTAGAAGAGGCATGTGACTACATTTGCTCGTAAGGAACTGCTTCAGCTCTATGAGGGATCTTCAGAAAGTTAATGGAAGAGCAGGTATATATGCACACATTGTCCAACAATCACCATCTGTACTGGATTTTTAGAAATATATAAAGAAAAGCTTGCCTTGCTAGTCTAATTATTTTAGTCATCAAATAGCTACTGGGTGCTTACTACAGGATTAATACTGTTTTAAGCATTAGGGTTATTTAAGTCATAACAAACCCCCTTCTTCCTTATAAGTTTTACACATTACACCTAAGGATTTGACTGTAACTCTTCAGTTTCTCCAATCATTAGTACTCCTGTGGTATTATACTCCTGTAGTGAATTCTCAAAAGGAAGGCTATCTCTACATAGAAGATTTTAAAAATCCTCACATCGGTGGGTATGAGGCATGCAGATAAAAATAAAATGAAATAGAATGGAGCACATCCTGGCGCACCAGGCCTGGAGGATGCTATCCCTGCTCCGAACAACCAATGCCAGAGTGGATCATATGGCTGATCACACTGCGCTGACCCATGGCCCTATGGGGGACAACACTGGAGACTCAGTGTCGGGATTGGCCCAGTCTGACTCCGCGATACTGAGGCAAAACACTGAAGGCTGTTGCAGAACAACTTGGGGAGCAGAGCAGGGAAGCTCCCAAGGAAGTGCAAAAGATAGTTTGGGGCCAGAGTGTGGCACCCCATCGGACTTGACTGAAGGACACACCTAGAGGTCAAAAATCAAACCATGATCTATTTACAGGTTTTTCTTTCTTTAAATTTTTTTTTAATTTTTTCTTTTTCTTTAAGTTAATTTATTCTTTTCTGGGTCATTGGTTTTCTTCTTTGTTGTCATCATTGTGTTCTCT